CTGGCCGGTATCAAGGAACCAAAAGCACTTGCGCAAGTGGCTTGGCCTCGTCAACTACTTACACAAGTATAGCGCAAATTATGCGGAAATGGCAAGGCCATTGTCGAATCTCTTTAAGAAGGATACAGAATGATGTCGAGACACCGATAATCGGGGGGCTTTTGACGGAGTCAAAGACAGCCTCCTTCATGCTCCAATACTAGCGTTGCCAGACCCCGATCGACCTTTTATTGTTGTCTGTGACGCTTCGGACTTTGCCATATGCTGTGAACTGCTGCAAACAGACGCCGAGGGGTGAGATCGGGTAATTGCGTTTAATTCTCGCCACTTCAAGCAGAGAAGAACTACACACTTCTCGACAAGGAATTACTTGCGATGAAGTATGCACTTGTCAAATTCAGGGTCCATCTGCTTGGCTTTAAGCAGTTTGTGATCTACACAGATCATGCGTCCTTTTGCACTGCGACTCAGTCGCCTCACCTCTCGCAGAGGATGGCCAGGTGGCTCTTTTTCTTTGCAGAATATAACTTCAAGGTAAAGTACAAACCAGGACCGCAGAATGCTTTGGCAGAAGCGTTGTCACACAGACCGGATTATGAGCTTGCTCATGTCACGACGGCGATGAGGTCAGTGGCGGATTTGATCCGCGCCACATACGCGGGTGATAGTATGTGCGTCGCGCTGCTCCAGGCTCTCGGGGGCAAGGGGTTTGGAAACTAGGACAAGAAATTGTCGGCGCGTTTGCGCACACGAATACGCCGATATCCGATGAAAAACTGGTTGCTGTATTATAGCACCGATTCGACAGATACGTCACGAATTGTGGTTACTCAGGATGAGGATTTGAATACCGCATTTTTAACAGGCCCACGAACTTCACTCAGTGGTCATCTCGGTCGTGAGAAGCCATGAGATGCTACCACTGGTGGTCATGGCTGCACAAATTGACGAACACATACGTGCGCACGTGCGAGACGTGTCTGAGGGTGAAACCCTCTCCGAATGCTGCAGCGCCGCACGCCGGTTGACCGGTACCCTTCGAGTGTTGGCAGTCCATGACTACAGACTTTGTTTGGTCTGCCAACAAACTTGGCGGGCAACACGGGTGTCGTGGTCTTCGTTGACCGTTTGAGCAAGATGGATCATTTTGCGGCAGTGTCGGACACCATCGACGGTGTGGGTACAGCGACGCTGTTTGTCGATCGTGTCTTTCGACAACATGAACTCCGGAGCCAATTGTCTTGGATAGAGACCCGCGTTTTACTGGGAAGGTTTGGTCGACGATCTTCAATGTTCTGGGCACCAAGTTGACTTTGTCATTGGCGGACCACCCGCAGACAGATGGTCACACTAAGCGCGTGAATCGCGTCGTTGAAGACGTCCTTCGCAGCATTTGCGTTGAGACGCCTAAGGGCTTTTGCGCCTTGTTGCCACTCATAGGGTTTGCTCTGATCAATGCAGTGCATTCATCTACAGATTACACGCCGTTCTACGTGAACGGAGTTGTCAATCCTCGTGTCCCGCTGACTCCGTCATTCCATGGCTCAGGACTTGGTGGGGGGGATAGCTACACGGCTAACTGATGTCATTCCCCTCACCGTTAAAGACTTTGGTCTGTGACTTCCTGTCTACCAGACTGGGTGTCTTACGACACGTTCCTGATGCGATGGCTGAAAGCCAAGACATGCAGAGAGAATATGCAGATGGAAGAAGCAGAAGAAATGTGGAAAGCGCTGAGGTTGGAGACCTGGTTTAATAAGATGCTAAAATTATTTCTACCCATGCATTTTCCGCAGTCCTAAAGACAAAGTTCCGTTCGCGGTTTATTGGACCCTTTTAAGGCCGCGGCCAAGCGAGGCCTTGCGTATAACCTTCCGAGAAGGATGCGCACCCAACCGAAGTTTTATATGGGCTTGCTCAAGCCGTACAGTATCCGGCACAGGTGAACGCAGATGCTGGCGCTCTTAAGGCGCTCGACAACCTAAACATTGAACCAGCAACTGGTTCTGAGCACAAAGTGCTGGAATCTTCATTTCCAACGGCACAAGGCGCTCCATCGTCGCACGAAGTGACGTATTCGCCTGCTCGACGGCTAGGAGGCGCTCTGACAGAGCGCGATAATCTCCAACGTGAGGCAGTCGGTGCACAAAGTGCTCCAGACTTTCGAGGTCTTCCGCACAGCGGAAAAAGACGTCGGAGAGACGCTCGGAAGAGTGCTGATGACGACGGACTCTGTCCTCAAACGCTCGAAGAACATCGCGAGCACCTGACGGCGATCGAAGAAGTCGTCATCGTCCATTGCTGGCACTTCTTGATGAGAATGGTGGCGTTCACTACCACGTAGAACGCTTGTGGGTCGAAGTCGTCGACCGGGTCTAACGCAATATCTTGTGAAGTGGTGGGGTTATCCAAACATCGAAAACTCGTGGGAGTTCGAGGCGCACTTTGCCAAGACTGCCCAGACGTCATGGACACTCATGATCAGAAGGATCGTGATGCTTCGCGTTGTCGCGCTCCCCGCGCTTCTCGGCAGTAGCCCGGGAAGCCGGAGGGCATGAGCTGAGCTCAAGCTACGGCCCTGAGCTTTTGTGATCGTAGACTCACTCGTGTGAGAAACGACAGAGCTCGCACAAGCGTGATGGATAATTCCATGTGTCGCATGGCGACCTTACGCAGGAAGATGGCTTTGCGCCTTAAATTTGGCAAAATCAAATCTAAGATGGCGCTCAACGCGTATGTCCACTTCCTTGTGGCTTCGCTGTAAGCTGAGCAGCGTGGAAAGTTTCCGGTGCCGCTCCATCCTTTGCTCAAAGAGCTCATCATCATTTGCAGCGTATTCGCCACGGACGAACACCACAGAAATTGTCCACATTGCCTGTACAGGAGTGCCTCATTTTTCAGCTCGAAGTCGAGCGTCGTACCAATTCATTGGGATTTCTTGTAGTACCAAAAGCGAGCTCGGAGTGCTTTTATATCAAGCTCAGCTTGTGCCGTGGCCGGGGGCCCGACTACGTAGACGCCTAAGCGAAAATTAACGCTACTCCACACGAGGGTCAAGGACCAAACGTGGATATGAGCGCATTAGAGCCACCCTGTGGGCAAACTCCAGGTGCTGCATCTGTTCCGTCGAGACGATTGGTAACAATACCACCTCCCCCGGAAGTCGACAGTTCTGGAAATGGACAGGGTGTCTGCAAGGTTCGAGCTGGGCTTAATTCGCGCCGAAGGTGCACCTCATCCTCCTCGTCTACCCATGCTGGTAAAGAAGTATCCGACTAGTAGTCGACTCCTCGAAGAGAAAATCTGTCGCCAGGGGCTGGCGTGTTGTGTTGCGTTCGGTTGCCGAGGGCTTGGGATGTGTTTCCTGGAAGCCGTGGACGTACTGTCCGGAGATCTCTGTGCAGAAGAATAAGGGTTTTGCTCGCGGGCGCTCTCGGAACCAGCTAGGCTGGGTGTTTTGTGTGACACAGGGCTGATTGAGCGGAGAATGCCTCAGGTTGTCCTTAAGAACATAACGGTGTCTCAGACATGCGAGCCTCGTATGAGGCGACAGTTAAATGTGTATTCACGATTTTGATGGGGAAGAGTATCACGGAGTTACACGTACCCTTGTATGAAAGAGCGGATGGTGTGACCGTACATAGGTGTGGATTTCACAAGTTATGTAATTATACAATCGTGTGGCTACAGGCCACTCCATGGCAGGATTGACAGTAGTAATGCATATTAATTAGGTATTACTATATTAATGAGGAATCCTATGCTTTTAGATATTGGCGGCTCTGCCGCAACTTAAACAATTAAAAAAACGGTTTCAATTGTGAACGGACGAGTTCATTTACCTTGGTAAAGGTTTTAAGTACACTTGGAGACAGCGGATTGCGATCCGCTGCATTTGTTCTGGTTCTTGTAAAGAACGTAAGGTCGGTGACCTTAACTTAGCTTCCGCTAAGCAAATAGCTACAGCAGCCCCGCTGCATAGCCACACCATTGTGTGATTATACCACCGTCTTCTGTAGCCCACTCCCTTGCATGGTCACTCCAACTTTTGTGACCCACCCCTTTATACCAGGGTACATGTGACCCCGTTACAGAAGTAGTAATCTGTTAATAAGACGTGTTTTTTGCAATGAAGTATACCATCGTCAAGTTCAATGTACGTCTGCTTTGCTCTAATTCGTTTGTGATTCAAACATATCATGCATCGATGAGAATTGCGACGTCGTTACAACATCCCTCATAGATTGCAAGATGGTTATTTTTTATGCCGAAAATAGCTTTGAATAAACGTGTCATCCGATTCGGTTTATTGTGGTAGCAATTGTGCTGCCGTGTCGCCTAATTATGAATTGTAGCATGCTCCGATGGTGACTTGCCACTTGATAAGGCGATACGTATGGATAGAGGGTCAGATGCAGTTTGTGTTGTGCTGCCTAAAGCTATGGAAAGCATGACATATGAGATTTTGGATGTCGATTTATCGACGCGCGCGAGCGCACGCCTGCTCCTACCTATCCCATGGCTTACTTTACTACACCATACCCCTCAGCGTGTAGTGTACCCTACGAAAACGATGCAACACCAATTGCCTGTCTGTGTACACACACGTTTTGAGGAAGGCTTGGGTCAATTGACACGCCTCACTCGCCTCCAGCGGGCCGTTGGCTTACGTAGAAGGGAGAAAAGCTAAAGTGACATCTATTATTAAAGCCAGACAATCTCCTTTGCTCTGAAACTTCAAATGACTTCTTGAAGTGCGTTTTTGAGGTGCAAATTCCAGTCAACAAAACTCAATGCAACTTTTGTGCACAAATATACTTGAGCGTACAGATCGTTGTGAGTTTTGAACAGGACAATATTGCAACTTATTTTCCAGCATATAGAGTTACCGTAATGTGTTGTGTTCATTTCTCTTCCATAATGAATTTCATAGAGTGACGTGTACATGGAGACAAATGCACGTATTTCGATATACAAGTCAATCGATATGATCAAATTATTTACTTGCCATACTTATGACGATGAAGAGCACCCGGCAAGCGACTAAGCACTTGAAGCCACGGAGTCTCAACAACAACAATTTCGTTCTCCGCAACAAAGTCGACGAACGATAGCGGACGGTAGCGGTTCACCACGCGGCAAAAACTATCCTCAAGCTCCACGAGCTCGCCCTCGGAATCATCAACTTTGCTATCTAACTCCGTGCCAATGCTACAATGAACGTTCTTAGGTGGACTCGTGGCAGACACTTGCTTACCCATATTGATCTGATAAAGACTTATCTGCGAATAAAGGTAAAGCAAGTCTGAATCGGCTGGATCAAATGCCATGCCCTTGAGATTACGACCTTCCAAATACTCCTCTGAAATGCGTTTTGTATTTTTACGGTACCACTCAGACAAACCCTTCTTCTCCACATCGTAACATACAAAGCTGTTTGATACCAGCGTGACGACCAAGATTTTACCCGAAGGGTTGAATGCCATACTTGTTTGCATTTCATTGGGGCAAGGAAGTTGGCAGTAAAATTGCATCGAATCTAAATTGTAAACAACGATCGTGTTTGACGCATCGCCAGCGGCAAGCCATTGTCCGTCAGAGGAGATACTTAGCGAAACAACTGGAGACGGTAAGTGAGAAGTGACACCTTCCAGTTTAGATAAGCCAGCAACCTCAAAAGTTTTCAAAATCTCCATTTTTGCCAAATCTAAAACGCATAATTTGTGCGAAGACGATGCAATGACCAAACGGGTGGAGTCTGGCGAGAAGGCTAACACGCGAGCTGGACCCAGCACACTTTTCGGCAGAGTCGTGACTTTCTGAGGCTTATAATCTTCGTCAGCATTCAATTTAAAAAGTTTCAGTTCCTTCGAGTTCGAACAGGCCACGAAATTGGCATTTATAGCCAAAGCTGAGCAGGTCAAATTTAGATCTTTGCCTACGTTTAATTCCAATAGCAACTCGTGATGAGTGATAGTGCCAGTCGCAGCTGACTGTATGGCTAAACGCCAGAATTCCAATGACGTCGATTTTTGCACCATTAACAAACGCTTCTCGTTCGCCAACGCGATTGATTTTGGATACGTCATCGACGCAATTTTGGCTGGACGGCTAGCACCAAATTTGTTGCCACGGTACCATACAAGTTGCGTATCAATACCGCCTGAAACAAGCACTGATTTAGCTTTATGCGATAGAGCAAGAGCACGGACATCGTGACTATGCCCACGATGGCTGTAAGAGTAAGCCCAAGTTGCAGTCCCACTCTCGACCACTGAGCGACGAAACTCGACGACTTGATTGTCCACACCTGAGGCGAAGAGCGTATCATTGTTTCGACTCACACAGATTGCCAAAATATCGGCCGTAAGATGTGAAAACTTTTGCAGTAAGGTACCGGTGGGTGCATTCCAAAAGCTTAAGCTACCAGCTGAGTCACCACTCACCAGAGTTAGGTCGTCTAGAACCACAAGGGACCATACGACTAACTTTTGCTTAGCCAAGGTCTCGAGAGTAATCCTTGACTCGTTACGGCCGGTCACAGCATTCCAGCAGTAAATTACACCTTTTTCACAACCCGAAAATATTTTATGTGCATGTGAGTGCCAGGCCAACGATACGATACGGCTGCCTGTGGTCAGGAAGCTCTTGGTGAAGTAAAGCTGACCGCCCGCAAACGAGAAAAGACGAATACGGCCATCTTCGCAACCTACAGCCAGTTGCTGCGACTCACTGTCAATGACCATACACCAAATAGAACCACCGTTTGAATCTGTCACGTTCTTTCGAAGAAGAGACTGTAAGTCCAGCTCCCACAGCGATCCGTCTAGCGATGACGCGAAGAGCCGATCACTAATTGGAGCCCAGCACAGAGCTGAAATCTGGCTTTGAGCCGATCCGGCTAAGACGTACTTGAGGTGCCATTTATTGTGCACGCTCCAAATTTCCACGTCACCTGTAGCGCGTGCTACCGCGAGCTGATCACCGCTGGCGTTAAAGCTGAGTGCGTGAATGGCCGATGGCATCCAATCCACAAAACGGCAACGATGCACTTTCAATTTCGTGACAGTAAGGTGATCATCAGTGGCAACCTTGCGCTTCTTGGCTTTCTTCGGTGACATGATGAAAAAGCGAGTAGAAAAACAGTATAGGATGGTTGGTGCGCGACGATTAAAGTAAGTAAACCAGTAAATAGTAGAAGTTATTGAATACTATTTACTTTGCATTCTAAAAGTGAAATCCAACTAAATGTATTACTTATTTTAGCTCAGGGGTTATCGTGATCTCTACTCCATGTAGTAAAGATACAAGCGCACTTGCTTTATTGTGCAAGAAAACTTTTCAGCATAAAGGATCGAATGATACGTTTGATGCATTCGGTCATTGTTGCTTACCTTATCCGACTACAAAAGAGAAGAGAATAGCGATGCCCGTTGGCCAAGGGTCTGCAAGAAGGAGTTTCTATAATTGGTTAAAGTGCTTAGCTAAATTTGCTGTATTAATACGCATGGCTTTATCAACCTCATGCCATGCCCGTAACCACCGCCCCAACTCGGCATTTCTGAAAAGGTGACCGTCCGGCCGCCGGACTAAACGAAGGCGATCACGTCACGAAACATATCAGGACCGGCAACTAGCGGACGCAACTGTTCGAGATCGGGCCACGTCTTACCTGATAGCAGGTACTAGGGCGCGGGGCTATGATACACTCAGAGCAGGTTAAATACAAGCTTGTCACTAGTGACCTGATAGGACTCATCGAAACGCAACATGAACATCAAGCTGAAAAGCTGGCCAAAGTAGGAGGCATCACCGGCGTTGCAGGGTCACTTGGTGTTGATATCACAAAGGGACTCAACTCTAATGATAGCGCCGATTTAAGGCGACGAGAAGACATGTTTGGGTCAAACTATATTCCGCCTCCGAAGCCGAAGGGGCTTTTAGAGCTTATGTGGGAAGCGTTTCAAGACATGACAATTATTGTGCTGACGATATCTGGTGTTCTTTCCGTAATTTTAGCTATCACTGTAGGTGATCACCCAGATACAGGCTGGATTGAAGGCGCCTGTATCATTTTCGCTGTTCTTGTGGTTACATTGGTGACAGCTGTCAATGATTACCAGAAGGAAGCCCAGTTTCGCGCTTTAAATGCTGTCAAGGAGGACGAAAAAATCAAAGTGATTCGAAATGGAGTTCCAGCGGAAGTGAGTAAGTTTGGATTAGTGGTGGGTGATATCGTTCGTGTGGACTTGGGCGATATTGTGCCAGCCGACGGTATTGTGTTTGACCAGAAAGAGCTCAAGCTGGATGAGTCCGCTATGACTGGCGAATCTGATTTGATGTTAAAGAATACCGAAAACCCTTTTCTCCTTTCGGGAACTAAAGTAATGGAAGGTCTGGGCAAGATGCTCGTGATTTGCGTTGGTGAAAGCTCTCAAGCAGGTATAATCAAGAAGCTTATCCTTGGTAAGGATAAAGAAAAAGCCAAAGCGAAGGAAGTCGAGAACAAGGTTAAATTACCTGACGCCCCGATGAACCCCGGTCCAACGGCAGCTAATGGCAGCGTCGAGCAGCAGGAAGAATACGATAATGGAGAATCGCAATCACCTCTCGAGGCAAAGCTTAATCGTCTGACAATTCTTATCGGGAAACTGGGTACGACGGTAGCTCTACTTGTGTTTATTATCATGTCAATTCGATTCTCAGTGGATAATTTTACTGGAGACGATAAGAAAGACTGGAAGGCCAAATACGTCAGCGATTACCTGCAGTTCTTCATCGTGGCAATCACTGTGCTTGTGGTTGCCATTCCAGAAGGACTTCCACTTGCTGTCACTATTTCATTAGCTTATTCCGTCAAGAAGATGCTGACAGATAATAATCTCGTGCGTCATTTGGATGCATGTGAGACAATGGGAAGTGCCACAACTATATGCTCAGACAAGACAGGAACTCTCACTACCAATCGTATGACCGTCATGCAAGTCTGGATTGGTGGTAACGAGTTTTCATCAGCTTCTCAAGCCACAGACGAAATGTCGGAGTCGACGCGTGACGTCTTTTGCAACGGTGTGTGTGTCAACTCGACGGCGGAAATTCTCCCTCCAAAAGTTGCTGGAGGGCACCCAGAGCATACGGGCAACAAAACCGAGTGTGCACTGCTGCAATTTGTTCGTGATTGCGGAGTCGACTATTCAAGTGTTCGTACTAGCACTGAAGTTGGTCACATGCTCACCTTCAGTAGCAAAAAGAAACGCATGTCGGTAGTAGTCAAACGTTCAACTACATCGTGTCGTATTTATACTAAAGGGGCTACTGAAGTGGTGCTAGGACTATGCAATAAGATGAAGCGTCTTGATGGTTCAGTTGCATCGCTCGACGGAAACCAAAAAGAGATCATTGGCACGTCGATTATCGAGAAATTTGCATCTCAAGGCTTTCGGACGCTTTGTCTTTCGTACCGTGATGTAGAGTTATCAGCGGAAGATATTAGTCGATGGCCAGACGATGAGGTTGAGACAGATTTGACGTGCATTGCAATTGTTGGGATTGAAGATCCTGTGCGTAAAGAAGTACCAGACGCAATTAAACTTTGCCACCGCGCGGGTATTGTCGTTCGGATGGTGACTGGGGACAATATTATAACTGCTCGATCAATTGCAGGAAAGTGTGGCATTATTACACCAAACGACGGTTCATTGGTAATTGAAGGGCAAGAATTTCGGATGCGTGTGCTAGACGGAAGTGGCAATATAATTCAGGCGGAATTTGACAAGATCTGGCCGTCTTTGCGTGTGATGGCGCGCTCGTCTCCAAAGGATAAATATACGCTTGTGACCGGATTGATGCAATCTAACTTGATGCCATACGGCCCACAGGTCGTCGCTGTCACGGGCGATGGTACAAATGACGCTCCTGCGCTTAAAAAAGCAAATGTCGGCTTTGCAATGGGTATAAGCGGAACGGCAGTGGCGAAGGACGCATCCGACATAATTTTGATGGATGACAACTTTACGTCTATAGTGGGTGCTATTAAATGGGGTCGGAATGTGTACGACTCTATTGCCAAATTTCTGATGTTTCAGCTCACGGTTAATGTCGTAGCAATCAGCTTAGCCTTCTTGGGCGCTGTAATATTAGAGCAGTCCCCGCTAACTGCTGTGCAACTTTTATGGGTCAATCTCATCATGGACTCCTTCGCCTCCTTGGCCCTTGCCACGGAATCTCCGACGCAGGCTTTACTGGAGCGTCGACCATACCCAAAGACGAAACCACTGCTTTCGAAGATCATGACAAAGCACATCATTGGTCAATCCGTCTACCAGCTTACGATCCTGCTCTTGCTTACGTTCGTTGGCGAAAAATTTATTAACGTACCTTCTGGTCGCTTTCAGGATCTGGACGAAAATATGAAGCATGAACCCACGCAGCACATGACTGTCATTTTTAATACGTTTGTGTGGATGCAGCTGTTTAATGAACTCAATTGCCGGAAGATTCACGATGAGCCAAATGTCTTTGAAGGTTTGATGGATAACCGAGTGTATATCTACGTGACCATTCTTCAGATCCTTATGCAACTTGTCATCATTCAGTGCACAGGATCATTTTTCAATTGCAAGCCGTTAACTGCTGGTCAATGGGGTATTTCCATCGGATTAGGTGCTATTTCCTTGCCTCTACGTGTAGTGCTAC